ATGATCAAATATAATTTTATCTTCAATTTCAAATAAAGTGATTCGAATTATATTTTTTGTACAAAGTACTCCATCCTTACTTGTCTGTTTTTTTTCTTTGTTTGTCTCTAACAAATAGGTTCTTTAATTAATTTACTCTTCATTCTTTTGAATACACTTTATCTATATATCTTATCTATTAATATCTGAATTAACAGTGGAAGAACTTCTTCGAAACTTTACAATACTTATACTTCAAAGAGAATTAACTTTAAGGTCACAGCGAAATAATTTTAAATTTAAAAATAAATAATTTGAAATAAACTTTTTTAAAAAAACCCTAAAAATTGTTTTTAACTTGGATAGTATGTGACAAAATGGAAAACCAGGGCAAAAGCGTCCAAGATGCTGGACGCGGCAAAATCTTTGTCAATGATTGTTAACGTGGCCCATATGACTCGGTCCGAGTTGATTTTTTTATTTTTTTTTAGTTGTTATATTTGTGTTTATTCTTTTAAAAACAACCTAGTCATACAATAAATCATTTTTATTTTAATTTTGAATAATAATTGATAGTCAAAAGGTAATGCAGCTACTCAATGAGATCTCAAGTTTATTTTTCTATTGAAAGTTTACTTAAAGTAAAATAAATGTAAATTAATAAATTGTATATATAAAATTATTTATTAATGTATACATTCTATCCTTCTCAGATTTTATATATGAAATTTTATTAATTATATCATTATAGAGTTTTACAAAATCATCAACTCATTTCAAATTTCAACTTTAATTTTTCACACATTTTTGAAAGGTTTAAAAATAGGTCACTTTAATAGGAAGATATATATACATTGGATGTTGAAGACTTGTATAAAATAGTTAAATTAGCTATAAAATTCAAGCCTAAAGGTTTTTGTCAATTCTCATAAAAAGAAAGTAACATAAATTAATTTTTTTTTAAAAAAAAAGCATAAATAGTAGAAGAAATATTGATATTTTGACCTTATTATTAAACGTTTTCTCTATACCTAATATATTTTGCGAATTAATCCAAAGAGAAATTAAGAAGACAAACGAATAATTTCGGTTTCTAAAAGCAAAAGCTAGAAATTATAATAACACTTATAATGCAAAATAAAAAATTACAATAAGGTGTTTGAAGGCCTCTTTTCCTTTATTGAGCTAAGAAATATTAGGATCAACTTACTCTTTAACATTTTGTATCTTATAATAATACTATTAGAATAATTTCGAAAAAAATATATACATATTGGCACAAAATGAGTAAGCAGTAATAAATAAGACAATCATCCCACAAACTATCTAAAATTGGTTATCCTTGCTACAACTTTCACTTGGTAGAGCAACATAAAAGCAAAAGATGGGTTTTTGAAGTTTTATGTTCAACTTCATTATGGCACAATAAGTAAAAGTTACAAATTAAGAGCTCGTTTGGATTAACTTAAAAAAATAAAATCAAATTTAAATGATTTTTAAGTCAAAAAATAAAAAGAAAGAACAATCTTACTTATGATTTTTAATTTATTCTAGGTTATTTTAAAATTTGTCAAATACTTTCGAAAATAAAAAATTACTTAAAATGGGTTTAACCAATTTTAAGTCAATTCAAATAAGCTCCAATACTCCCTCTAGCATATATTAAGTGATATTTTTATTAAAAAAATTCTAGTTCAATATACGTAAATTATTCAAAGTGCAAGATATTTGTTGGAACTTTTTCATAACTTGCAAAAATGACTATATTTATAGGGTTATTGAAGTTCAATAGCTATAAATATCTTATTTACTAGAAATGACTACACTTTATGTCAATTTCTAGCTGCATGTTTGTATTAAAATTTTTTAATTATTGTTATTATTATTATTTATGGAGGGATCTTATAACGCAATAAATAAGGTATGATATGTTACCATAACTGTCAAGTGACAACCTTTTATTATGTTCCTAAATCATTCTAATTTCCATTATTAAATTACCAATCAATAATTGCATATTATATGCATATATAATTCATCTTATAATACAATAAAGTGTATTTATATTCCTAAATACAATATATTCACTAAATACTAATTATAAAGGTATAAATAAAATTTTAAATATAAAAGAGTATTCATGTTTTTTATTTATTTATACACTAATACAGTTGTAATTAGAATAACTAAATAAGGAAAATGTATTCTTGTACAATTAGCATATGAATACTTTGAATTCAAATTGGTGTTTCCATATATAGAAAATTTAAAAAGTATTAATATATGAAGGATACAAGTATTTATAAAAAATTAATTTATTAATATATCAAACAAAGTAAAGTAGTATAATTTTAGCATATGAATACAACAATTTGGAAAATGGATGCACTATTGTCAAACCAAAAAAATGAATACACCAATATATTATGCATATGAATACACTGTTGTTAAATAAGAAAATGGAAAAACAATAGAGTGTATATGTATCAAAATGTGTAAGTATTCGACTGTATAAAAATTGAAAAAATCAACAAAACGTTGATCTATTTTTCGTAAAAAAATTTCTAATAATACTTGAGGTTGATATTAACTTAGGTATTTATTTATAAAAATGTAATGTTGATTTATACAACTATACTTGTATTGCCTAATGAAATTGGATAAATTACTTATGTATCCAGATGTAATTGTATTTACAACACCATTTGTATTAGTATTACAATGCAATTATCTATGTATATAAGTATTATACTATATACAAATTTGACAAACAAAAAAAATTATTTTTCTACACTCTCTGCTAACAACGATAACTTAACAGCTCCGCTAAACTACGGATATTTCCTACGCTCCATCTCATAGACCGTCGGATCTCTCATCAGTGTGCCGGTACAAGAAAATGAATCTAGCATTAAAGGTGACGCTCTTCGCAAGGATATATGCAATTTCGTCGTGGAAAGAAAGTAAAAAAGCAATATAAATTTCATGAAAACGCAATTTCAATCAAAACCCTATAAAAATAGATGTATATAAATAAATTTTTCATAAAAAATGAGGAGAAAAATTCGTTAGAAAATACCTTATAATGAATTCAAATCACAAAAAACGCTCCTAAAATCATACAAAAAGATCTTAAAAAATTTGGAGGAAAAATACAAAAAAATATGTAATATAGGGATATTGATGAAAGAGAAGGTATTGATGAGGACATGATTAATTATGAGTGTTATAATAATTTTTCTATTTAATATTTATTTATATTAGATATATATAAAAACCTGATTATTGGTATATAATTAACTTTGTTATTTCCTATATAGTTATATCCATATTACATAAAAAAATTAAATTGTTAGCTATTTTATTTAAATATATATTGATGTTTGTCATATTATACAGTTTTTCCTATTATAAATTAATCAAATCAAACTGATACTTAATAGAAACAATAAGCCAACTGATGAACATTATGTTGTTTACCTTGAAAGGTAAATAAGTAATTTTGAAAGATTCAATGATTTCATTACCAGATAAGAAATTATGTTGCCATGTCGATACAGAAAAATGTTTCGAGGGTCACAAAAAAAACAAACTCAAGTGATAAGCCAATTACGAGCAGAAATCGTTGTGGACGTTATAGTCATGAAAGTCACATACACACACGCACACGCACACGCACACGCACACGCACACGCACACGCACACGCACACGCACACACACACACGCACACGCGCACACACACACACACACACTTTTTTATTTATTTTAATAATAATGTATGTGATACATCATGATTTTGAACGATCGTATTTACTATAATTTTTATGTTAAGTATCACTTATAAAAGGAAAGATAAAATAGTATATTTGATACATTAATTTATGTAATTAGTACATGTTGAAATATATATTTTCGTGGTTAGATATAAACTCTTTAACATAATAAACAACTTCTCGAATGATAAAATTGTCTGATACTTAAATTTATAAAACTTATTTGTATCAGATAATTTTTAAAAGTATCATATTTTGTATTGTATACCACAATCATTATAATTATAACAAAAAAATAAAGAAAAATGTACATACTAAGATCAAAATTAAAATACATTAAAATTTAAATTCAAAATAACAAAATTTTTAGAGAAATAACCAATTATCCAGAAACCAACCTCCTAAGATTGTTAATCATAGATAATTTTTTTCAAAGATAATACACCACAATAGCAAATGCAACAATTCTATCCTAATCGGGGGTCTTCCACGTTCGCTTTAAAAGATGAAGTTTCATTTTTCTTCGATTTCGTCTTCTAAATATTATCATCTTCATGGTTAATGAATCTATTTTAAGCACAATCATCATCGTCGAAATCATAACGAGTTGAATAGATCTATTTCATGAAAGTTTTCATAAAAAAAAAACACAAGGTACCATACTAAAAAGACGAAGCAGAATTCATATGTATAAGAAAATTGTAAATTAAAAACGTTATTTTTTTAATAAAGAAAACGAAATCTAAAGAATTGAAAATAAAAAATTGATGAAGAAATAGTTCTACCTCTTAAGGAACTTGAAATTGATGAACTTGAGAGCAAAATAGATTTGAAATTAAAAAAACTGAGTGATTGATGTAACTGCTGATATATGAGAGTGATTTTAAGCGTAAAAATATGAACAAAAACGTTGGATTGGAAAGGACGTGAATAATGTATCTGAAAAATGAAAGAAAAAGAGAAAAAGAGGGATTTTTGAAATATTTTAAAATGGTAGAAAATTTTAAAAATTATGGAAAAAAAGATTGTTTAGTTAGATAATTTTTCCAATAATTAATCCAATTTATAATGGGCCACATTAAACTAAGACTCATCAAAAATAGCCCAACGTTGAGGTTTACCTATTCAAGTCCAGCCCACTTTGAAAGCATAGGAAATTAGGAAAGTTGAGGTTTACCTGTTCAAGCCCAACCACTTTGAAAGCCTACGGAATTAGGGTTTAAGAGTAGTTGGTAGCTATAAATAAACTCACGATGTATACCATGAAAATACACTAATTTGCGCTGATTGTTTCGCCGCCACCGCCCGCGGGCTTCTTCTCCACCGCTCCTATGGTGCCTTCTTGATTATACTCTTACTATTGATCATTTTTCTTTCAATTTTTTTTGTTCATTGAAATCAGGTGATGAGAAAAAAACTGCAACAATATGATGGTAAATTCCATGATTCGTAGTATTTAAGTCTCTGATGATTTCTCTCCCTCTCTATAGATATATGTAATAGAATTTGGTTTGGTGCTTATTAATTTCTGGAATGTTGATGTTTTAGTTATGGTATTTGGGAGATATGATGAACGAAATTGGTCCGTGTTTCTGATTGAACAGTGACAGATAACACCTTTCTTTTTTACTCTACTGATCTCCCAATTATATTTTTATGTTTAATTGCCACATTTGTGAAAAATAGCTCAATGATTGTATGCCTTTTGGCAATATACGCTATACCGATCTAAAACATGAGTATGATAATTTTTTTTCTAGTATGAGAGCTATGTGTGAAACTGTTTTATTGTAATTTTTTTTGAAAATTATGTGTCTTCTGCTGTGATGAATTCATGAAAATTTCACATGTCAGACTTCAGAGAGAAATCTATGAGAAGATATTCATGTATCTGAGCAAAATTTTAACTTTTTATTGTATCATTTATTGTTTGCAACTTATATGTTTACATTATTTGAATTTTCGGTAATGGTTATGAGTCACGGAATTTCTTCTGCTTGATTATGGCTTCACACAGGAGTCTGCAGCAGGTGCCGGTTAATGGTAACCCGTCTGCCGCATGAAGCCTAAACAAATCCAAGATGAAGATCCATTAGAGTTAATTGTACTCTCTTGACACAATATCTTGGATATATTTATGTATACATATTATTTTCAATGGCATATCTCAGACAACGGGTATTTTCTTCTTATTTCTATGAGAATTTGCCTTTTGCACGGTGCCTAGACAATGCTACTTATCACGATTGAAGGATGTTCTGTTTTATTCCCAGCATTCTTTCAAATTAATAGTAGTCAAATTATTTTAAGCATTGATGAGATAGCGAACATGTAAGGAGATCTATTTTAAGCTTGGATCAGCTTGGATCTTCAATGAAATTTTCTTGTTACGCTTGGCTTCTGAGCTTTTTCTCTTACTTTTCAGAAAACCTGATTAAAAAAGCAGGGATCTATTGCCTTCTTTGAGAATGGGTCTCTCGTAAATGTCAGGGATATCAAGAAATGCATTGTTATTGGGTGAACCACTTGACTTTATTTATGATGGAATGGTTCAGTAAACGATGATACATTATTATTTATGATCAATTTAGATGTATATGTATACTTATTTAGTCAAAATCAAACGATGAGAAAAAAACTGCAACAATATGATGGTTAATTCCATGATTCGTAGTATTTAAGTCTCTGATGATTACTTTATATATATGTAACTGAATTCGGTTTTGGTGCAAGATTTATTTCTGGAATTTTGATGTTTTGCTTATAGTTTGGGAGATGTGATGAACGAAATTGGTCCGTGTTTCTGATTGAACAGTGACAGATAACACCTTTTTTTTTACTCTTCTGATCTCCCTCTTATATCTGGTACCTGGGTTTGGTTAGATTTGTGAGATACAGTAGCTCAGTAATTGCATGGCTTATAGGAATATTTATCATGTGATTAATGTGTGTTTATTACACAGTATTGCCATATGATCTATTGAATTTGTTTTGATGTGTTTTTGTGTTATTTGGATAATCTGCTTTGAAGAATTCATGAAATTTCACATGAGTTCACGTTTTATCTGAACTTGTGTAATTGTTCCAATTTCGTGACGATCACGAAATATAACCAATGCATAGAATTAACTTAACAATTTTAAATAAGGTTCATAAAATTCTCTCCATCTTTGATTTTGTTCTTCCAAAGCTAAATTATTATCTTAACTTTGGATTGTGGTGTATTGGTGGTACCATGCGAAGAAATTGAAGAAGTTGCACTCTTGCCGCATCTTGAAAATAGAATAACAAGCGAACAGAGTACTAGTCTCAATTCCCGAAGTTAATGTTTGTAATTTTATGTACACTTGATTAGAAAAATGTAATATTGCATGTATATAAAATCAATTTTAAAATCAATATTATTTGATGTTTATAAAATCAATACATAAAGTAGTGTATATTTTTACCCTCATGATATTGGCATTGAAAATATACAATTTAGAAAATTTGATTCTCTAATTAATTTATATTCAGTGCTCATTTGTCAAATTAATTAATTAAAATATACTAATTAATTCATATTCGGTGATTGAAAATTTGATTCTTTAAAAAATTAAATAAAGATAAAAAGGGTAAATTTACATGTGCAATGTAAAAAGGTGAGTGACTAAGTTACATCATTAATGTAATAAAAACAGTATCTTTTTATTTGTATATTTAAACTAATTAAGGAAGAATTTTTGTTAGTAGAATTATATTTTTGATTGATTTTTTTTTGAAAAATGTTAATTGACGTTAAAATTTTAAATTTTTTTATTCATAACTAAAATGATGTAAAGTAATAAATTAATTATATTATTTATTATTTTCTTTAATAGATGTGTTAATTTAAAAATGGATAAATAATTAGGTTTAGGCAGTAATAACAAGTTATATCAAAAGAACTACACATATATTTTGATTTTTGATGAAATAAACATCTCCCAGAAATTATACTCATTTGTTTATATAGGCTCAGTAAAATTACAAGAGAATGCTTTTGTAATATGTGCGAAATTTGGCGTTGGTGCTGGTACTGCTGCAGGTAGAGCTTTTTTGTGCGTCTCCATAATTTCAATTTCCCATAGAGTTGCTTTTTTCCTATGAGGAACATCATGGGTAACACTGTTCCTCCATGGTGGTATTCCTCCATAAGGTCTCAAGAAATGCCCGTATCGCGTCTTTAGACGAATTTGATACAAAGATCCATCTTGTTCAGCCTCCCATTCTGTTGCCGAACATAGTTTCTTTGGCAATGTCTGCATAACCTTTCTTGATCCCGTTACCTGTTGAGACATTGATTTACTTTCCAGTTTCCACTAAAACAGAAAAAAATGTTACAAAATTACCTTAGGAAGTAATGGAACATTTGAAGCTGTCAAGTACTTCCCATAACAACTTTTAAGGCGCAAGTATTGTTGGCCATCCAAAAATTCAACGGCCCAGAGTGCATTTACAGATGAGCCATCGCGTTTTTGGCGTATTGATTTCTCATCATTGCTTGCTGTGAGGTATTTGCCATTGTGTGTTTTTAGACGAATGGTTTTTGCGTTCTCCAAGTGCTCCATATGCTCTAATTAATTTCCAAGCCTCAAATTCAAAATCGCCCCGATTAATTAATAACTCGAAGAAAATGTTAATTTCGGGAAAAAAAATAAACTGTTATGTACACAACCTATGATGATATGACTAATGAAATTCAAAAGACCCTTTTGTATATATGCATGTGAGAGAATTAATCTTTGGAGGATTGAAAGATGTGCACATATAATTGAAAGGGTCTTTTGAAAGTATTAATGGGAGAAGCCAAAGTCTAAAATGAAGCTAATGATATTTGCAAAATACCATTTTGTTTTTGTTATGAGATGTAACTTTTTTTTTTCACCAGTCTTTCTTTGTTTGGCCAAGATACATTGTTGGAGAACATTTCGGAAGTGCGATAAAATATATGTGGGCGAGATTTTTAATATTACTTTGGAGAAAATATCATAAAATAGTTTCTTAGTTTGTCTGAAATAATCTTTCTAATTATATATTTAGTCTTTTAATTATTCAAAATACTTATTACGTTTGATCTATTAACTTGTACTTTTCCACTTTTAGTCTCTTAACTACATTTATTGATTTTAAATATTTAAAAAATTAAATTTGATAAGTGAATAATTGAGAAATCGTTTTAGACCCACTCTATAGTTTGACATTTTCTCTTTAAGTTTTCGTAGGAATGACCAAGACATTTGAATTCCGATGTGTTATAAAATATTTTTATATTATACACATTTGATATAAATTTTACTTTTCTATTTGTACGCTTTTTTAAATATTTAGGTAAATAAGTTTCCACTTTTTTAAAAAAATTACTTCTATTAATCAATCACTTTCAACTCAATAAGTTATAAAATCTAAGGTGTTTTCTGATTAAAGCTGGGTTTGTATATAAACCCTCTCAAAATGAAATAGATGAATTAAAAATTTAAAATTTTCAAATAATTTTATATTTTTAAAATTTATTAATTGAAAATATAATCGATAAAAATAATTTATCCTTTTATTTAAAAAATAAAAATAAAAAAGCTGAACAAATAATTAAAATCAAAATAAAGATTGCACTAGTTACTATATTTAATCTAATACCTTACTACCAATTGATTACAGTCATACAACACATGTATCCATGTTTCCAAAGACACTTATGTCTCAAGAAAATTCGTGACGCTTAGAAAACATGCACAATTATTTTTTTCAAATTCTTAAAATGTTTTGTATGAATCATTTTAACGTCTGTAGCTCCAATTAAAACGAGTTATTGCAAAAATCTGTAAACGAAAATTAGTCATAAGTTCATGACTGGGTATGCCTAGTCAAACTCAGAGGCGTATTCAGAATTTTGAGATAACTGATTTACTATTATAAAAAGATGAATTTTAAAATATAAATTTAATCGATTTAACATTTAGGTTCTTATCACTAAAAAGAATTGAAAATTTAAAATTATAGGTCCAAAGTTATGTCTACCTATCCAAACCACTTAGAGAGACATTACCCAATTTTTTTTTTAAAAAATAAAACAAGATAAATAAAGAAAAATTACTAAAATACACGTTTTATGTATTTTTTATTTTCAATATTTTCTTCTATTTCTAAAAACCTCTAAAATCTCTTATTTCTTAATGTATGTGAGCTACATATTAATGTATCCTAGTTATTAACGTATTCGAGCTGGATTTTTATGTATCCGGTTTATATCCAAAATACTTTTTAATGTACCCGAGCTACACATTATGTATTCAATTTGTGTTACTTTTTAAGGAAATAATGTAATTACAACCTAAAGAGGGGTAAATTGTAATTTCATGTTAAAAATATGTGTTTCCTAAAATTTTACCATAAGTAAAAAATTTAAATTTCTACCTAGAGAAATACACTCAATCATAATTGTACGGTGTGATACTTCAAGTGTGAATTTAAGTATCTATATTTAAATATTTTATAAGAAATACAAATTACTATATACTTTCTCCGATCGGAATTGTTTGTCATGTTGCATTTTTTAAAAATTAATTTGACTAATTTTTAAAGTTAAATAGATCACATTAATTGATATTTTGAATTTTTTTTTTTAGATATTTCAAAACTATATGAAAAGTACTATAAATTGCAATTTTTATATATCAATATGATTAAAAAAAATAAATCTTAAAATGTTAATCAAATTTTTTATAATTTAACTTTAAAAATAAAAATTATAATAAATAATTTCAAAATGAAGAGAGTATAATTTTTTTAAAAAACATGAATTTAGTGACCCCTCTGAATACGCCTCTGGTCAAACTGGCCGACAATTTCAAATGATAATCAGGAAAAATAGAGCATCTGCGCTAGCTGTGGAAGTTGGCAGTTGGGCTAATGATAATTAAGCATCCCAAACGACAAATTATTAATCATTTTTAAAGTTGATTTATTTTAGATTTTAAAATTTTAATATTTAGGAAAGGAAAATATATATCAAAGTTTAAGTAATTTGTCTCGATATGTGACAAATCATGAACTGAAAAGAGATTTAAAATAACAATATAATATATTGATTTAGCAAAAAAAATTAAAAGTTAAATTTTATGAGTTTTTATTCATAATTTTACTACTTGTACTGAGTTCATGATCTAATATTTATATATATATATTTAATAAATTTATTGACAAATATATATAACTTAAACCGAAACATGTACAAAGCTTACTCATCGGATAAAACACTTCATAATTGGTGTAAAGCTTGTCTATAAGTAAGATTTTGATATGAAATTAAAATGAAAATTATCTCATAAATTAAAATGAAAATTATCTCATAAAGCACCCTTTAATTTTGTCTAGTTTAACATGTCATTTTTAAAGTTGATTTATTTTAGATTTTAAAATTTTAATATTTAGGAAAGGAAAATATATATCAAAGTTTAAGTAATTTGTCTCGATATGTGACAAATCATGAACTGAAAAGAGTAATTACTTGAGTTAGGGGACTGACCAACAGAAAATAAAGTAAGTAAATTTAAAATAACAATGTAATACATTGATTTTGAAAAAAAAATTAAAAGTTGAATTTTATGAGTTTTTATTCACAACTCTATTACTTGTACTGACTTAATGATTTAATATTTATATATATTTAATAAATTTATTGACACATATATATAACTTTAAGCCGAAACATGTACAAAGCTTACTCATCGGATAAAACACTTCATAATTGGCTTAAGGCTTGTCTATAAGTAAGATTTTGATATGAAATTAAAATGAAAATTATCTCATAAATTAAGATATTTCATTAGATTAGTTATCTATAAATTAAGATATTTCATTAGATTAGTTATCTATCGTATATATGAAATAATTATCTGATCAATCATCATTTATAAATAAATAAATAAATATTATTAAAATGAATTAGTACTCTATTATCTATGGGGTACGCTGGATTCTTGAAAAATTATACCTCTTCGTTTAAAAAAAAATTGTTAATTTGACTTGGAATGAAGTTTAAGAAAAGAAAAAGATTTTATAATTTTATGGTTTTAATTTTAAATTTATGTCAAATGTATCAAAGTACTCTTTAATTTTGTGGTCTTAAACATGCCATGTGAAAAGTTAAAGTTAAAGTGTTACAAAAAAGGTAATTTTTTTGAAACAAATTAAAAAGGAAATAAGGTTATTCTTTTTAAAACGGAGGAAGATAGTTTATAAGAGTTTGATTTTTTTATTCATCTCACGTAAGATGCCTCCACCTAATACAAATACTTTGATTTTGTGGTCGTCTGGGACCAAACAAATGACATAAGTCACAATCATTTGTTAGATATGAACTTTAAATTAGTAAAAAATTGCTTTCATGTTGAACAAATTAAATATATCTAGGTATTGTTGCATTATGTTACGTCTCTTAATAACGATTGATCTAGTTTTTTCATGCACACTAATAAATGAAACAGATGTATATAGATATTTAAACCATATTTGATTAATTAAAAAGACTAATAAGTTTCTTGTTTATAATCACATAATAGGATAATTGAGCTCTATATAGCTTAGTCAAATCCATATAGAAGTTCTCTTACTAAAATGGGCAAGTCATAAATCAAATGCAAACGTGACGCAAATTCATTTCATCAAGGACATAATTTTGAATCGGAGGACGTGGAGGTGGAGAAATAAGTTAGAAAAATATTAGGTAGTTGGACGTGTTATATTGCTTTCCCGTTCCATCTTTTTTCTTCGGATTCTTTCATTTTTATTATTCTCTTCGTTTAAAAAAGAATGTCCCTATTTCCTTTTTAGTTTGTTTAAAAAAGAATGTTCTTTTCCCTTTTCTGACAATACTTTAACTTTAACTTTCCACAAAACATGTTTAAGACCACAAAATTAAAGGGCGTTTCGGTACATTTGACACTTTAATTTATAACCACAAGCTTAAAAAGTTTTCTTTCTTTTCTTAAAGTCCATTCCAAGTCAAACTAGATCATCCTTTAAAAAAAAAGTATTAGTTGTTGTTTCATTAGTCTCGATTATTCAACTATCTTATTAATGTTTTTGGTTGTTGCTAGTTCTCTTATTTTACGTCTTTCTTTGAGTTGAAGGTGAAATTACACTAAATTTATTATTATTATTATTATTATTATTGTCGCTATTTCTTTCCATAAATCTATTCCATGTATATTAAAAATAGTTAGATAAGTACACTCTATAGTAAAATTCGAGAAAATAAAATTGGGCATGAAAATTAAAATTATATAAAGAAAATCCATGTGACTTGCTTAAGCAAAAAAATATATCAACAAAATTAGATATTAATACAAGCCAGCAAGATGTATCAAAAAAACGGGGAAGAAAAGAAAAAAAAAGACGTTAAAGTCAGAGATTTCACACAGACAACATATTACCTACCTGCCCGTTACACAATTACGACATCTTACATACATTAACAATAGCTGTTTCACAATCACACACTTTATCTCTTCTCAATTTACGCATCAAATCTTCGATTGTGTAAATGGAATATTTTGAGAAAGCGAAATCGGTTAGGCTAAAGAGCAACCATGACAAATTTTTACACGCTGATCCTGATCAAGAATGCGTATACCAAGATCGCAGTGGATCTACAAAGACGGTTAAATGGACAGTCGAATTCCCTGAAGAATTGAACAATGTGATTCGTTTAAAAAGTATCTATGGAAAATACCTAACGGCCTTAGACGATCAACGTCTGTTCGGGGTAACAGGTCAGAAAGTTGTTCAAAGTTTGCCAAGTAAATTGGATTCATCGGTAGAATGGGAACCTATAAAAGAAGGATCTGCGGTAAAGCTGAAAACGAGATATGGCAATTTTTTAAGGGCGAATAGTGGATTACCTCCTTGGAGAAACTCAGTTACACATGATATACCTCATAGACATCAAGATTGGATCTTATGGACAGTTGATACTGTTGAGGTACTCCCTGAATTACCTGATGAAACCGTTTCCCAATCAGAATCAGTGGCTGATGATGATTTCACCTCATCTTTTCGTCTTACATCTGCTAAATTTTCCAGGACTCAGGTTTGTGTTCCCCGAATTTGTTTCGCCAACAAAATCACAATGATTAAACTGATGTGCTAGATTTGTATGAAATGTGCAGTCTGTGAAATCCGAAGGTAGGGTTATCTATTACCATGTGGCGGATGAAGATGGAAATGTGAATGATTCAGTGGAAGGGCCTTCTTTGCAGTTCAAAGGGCACGGATTAGAGGAACTGACTCGAAAGTTGGAAGAAGAAACAGGGATAGAGAAGATAATTGTTTGTTCGCGTAACAAATTCAATGGGAATTTATATCCTCTCCGTTTAGCATTACCTCCAAACAATGCAACTATGCATGTTGTTGTAATGCCTGCATCGTCTAAAGGTCAGTATACTTTATTGATCCTCTTTTGAACAGAAATGTGATTCTATAATGACAATTGTGTTGTAAAATTGTTATTTGGTGTTTTCATATATGATAACAAGTCTATGAAAGAACTAGTCTTCTCATTTGGATTTAACATTACTGATATTTGATCGTTCGTCTATGAGTATTATGTAATGCAGCCAGATTCTGTTACTAATATGTTTGCTGATCGTTCATCTATAAGGTATCATAACTCTCTGAGATAAGGGACAGCCGTTAGAACTTTAGTCTATTTGAATAAAATGTGTGCATGAGTTAGGACTGAAAGTACTATAATCGTTGAACCATAGATCAAAACAACAATCTAGAGTTGGTTGCTTTCTTGTCTAAATTGAAGTTTGTCTTTTGTTTGCCCAAAAGAAGTAGTTCTCAAATGAATCTTGTTGACTATCTTTAGTGTATAGATCTAACCAAGGAGCCTTCTTGCTTAGACCTCTGTCTGTTGGTGTTTTCTTCTGTGGTTTTGTGACCCTGTATCTTGTTTCATGAATGGCATTGTGCTGCTGGACAGTGGCAAAAGAGCTGACGGCAGATGTTCTTACATCCAAATGGTCGGTGTTGAAGACTCTATCGTGAAACATTTTGTCTGACAGCAAGAAAGTGATTCAATATCTTCCTCAGAATCAGAGACAGATTCAGGATTTAAAGTTTATAGGTTCATATGTGACCTCAAGTTACTATAAAATAATAATTGAGTTCATAGTCATTGTTTAGTTGATTTTGTAGTACACGGACAAAAGCTATTGTGTTTACGTGAACTAGTAGACAACATTCTAGATCAACTCCTGCCGGAACTGTAGGCATTTCTTTCTTCTTTTGGTATATATTAAGTGAATGTAATGCAACCAAGAGAAGCAGATTCCAGTTGAGAGCATTATTTATTTGTTCGGAGTTTGACAAATACAACTCTCTGACTGTATATTTTGGTTACATATCAAGTTGAAATATCCAATTTCTTGCAGTACGGCGATACAATTTTCTGTTACTTTTTTGGTATTCGAAGAGTCCGACTATTTGCGCCGAGAGGATTTGGGGTTGATAATCTTGATGTACAAAACAAGGGATGCAATACTAGTATTCTAGTACTACTCTCGCCAAACAGATTTTTCTTTTGTTGCTTCAAGCAATCGGTGTCTTGAACATACTGGCTCGATCAACTCAACTTCACGCCAAAAAAAAATCTCATTGTTAGCTTCCTACTAAGAATGACTTTATTCTCCGGACTCTAGCACGAATATTGGTTCTCTTCTCTAAAATAAGATTCATCAAATAGAAGTTTTAAGAACAAAATAAGACTAACATATTATTAGGCATATTAATAAAATAAAACATCTTAAACAGCCAAATTAGCAATTCTTTCAACAATTGAGATAAGAATCAGACGGATATCCAAAATATCACCTTTTTATAATTACTAATCGCTCTTCAAGAATCAAATGAATTTTATAAATAATAATTTATAGTTTCTTATTAGAATTTAAGTTCTCTGCTTAGCTATAACTTAAATTTTCTCTAACTATTCACTTCATTCATTTTTACTTGTCACGTTTAGATTTGACACATCTATTATGACAGGATTATTTTATCACACAATCACTCTTAATTGAGGTTAATTCTTCTAGGTTTATCTGGCTGAAATTGGAAAATAGTCATTTTAGACCTGTAATTAAGTTTATAGTCAATATTTCAAAACAATTTAGTATTAATATAATATCCTAGTTAAAATACGAAAAAAAAACTCACTTTATCAGTTTGCATTCCACAAAACGTTCATAAAATTCGAATTGATGAATGTTTGAATTCTTTCATTCAATGAATTTGCTACCGCAGCGATTCATTTTTCGTTTTGGATTTGCCTCTCAAACTTCAACTTTCAAAGGAAACTATCCATGCTCAATCCTTAGCCATGGAAGAAGAAAATTCAGTGCAACTAATCTCTCCTCAGCTACTCCAAAGGTAACACTTAAAAGTAATGTACATAAAATTTAACTATTTTTCTGCAAATTTTGGTAATGTATGTGTTGTTGGTAAAGTAGTCAGGTGAAGAGCTTTTGTTAGTAGTAGGGGGCGGAGCAGCTGGAATTTACGGTGCTATAAGGGCTAAGACTCTCGCCCCGAATCTTCAAGTTGTTGTAATTGAAAAAGCGAAACCTTTATCAAAGGTAATTGATACAATATTTTCAAAGTCGAGAACATTAGTTTTGTGTTTGTAATGTGGAAAGTTTTGTTCTATTGTTTTGGTAGGTCAAAATTTCTGGAGGAGGTCGCTGCAATGTGACTAATGGGCATTGTCCTGACAATAAGGTAAAATTTCCTTTGCAATTTAAAGAAATGCTCTATGCTTAGTAAGTTGTAGAATTGGTGCCCAAAGCTTAATGTTCTTAGATTATGGCACTTTTGGAAGAGTGACTTTTGTTTATTTGTATTATTTGGAATTCAGAGAATACTGCTAATAGTTATTACTAAGATTGTATACCTTAGGGATTTGAAGATAGGTACCTTTAAGCATAGGGTTTGCACATGAAAAATCGAAGATACAAATAAATAATTGAGTTAAAATAGTATTTTTTTGTGTGATGTCTCAACTCTCAACTTCCTCAATCCAAATTTTGCATCCTCTATACTGATTGAGTAGGATGTTTTTCTGTAGGCTATAGTTTATTAGAATTATAAAATCAACTAAATAACTGAGCCAAGAGTACAAGTATGTTTGTGGTCTTTTCTTTTTTTCTTTCCTAAAAGGTGCTCATAGTCAAGTATCATTTTCAACTTCAGATTTGTGGTGTTTTAGCAGCATATAAGTCAAGCTCAACCGAAACCAAACTCATTTGCAGGTTTTGGCTGAACAGTATCCGAGGGGTCATAAGGAATTTAAAGGCTCCTTTTTCCATACTCATGGTCCAATGGATACAATGTCCTGGTTCTCTGATCATGGTGTTGTGTTAAAAGTAATCTCTGAAACTACCTTTTTCATGTTTCTTTTCTTCTTGTTGATGTTAACGTGTAGTTCTGCTGATTTGCCTCAGATAGAGGAAGACGGAAGGGTCTTTCCCGCCAGTGATAGTTCATCTACTGTAATTGATTGTCTCATGTCTGAGGCAAAGAGGAGTGGAGGTAGATAAACTATCCTATCACAATTTTTTATTTTATATTTTGTCATAATTATTTGGGAGTATGTATGGTTGCATAAGCTTTTACTTCTATTCACATTATACTCCTTGTACATTCATATCCTTAGAAGTTCTCCAGGGGCAGGGGTGCCTATATCTATTATCTAAATTATCTGTTTGAATAGCTTTGGACTTTCTACTCCAAAATTTTCTGTTAGCTCGTGTATGTCTGCATACACTTCTCTGCATGTACACTGACATTTGCTTATACAGAATTTACTGGTCAACTTGAACCCAAGTATATGCCAAGAACATCTTGGGATTTGAGACATGAGATCCTTCAATTTTCTTTCTTATTGTAAATATGGGAGGCCGGAGATAGAGTGACAAGTTAAACAAATTGGAATGAGGAAAAATAACCTCATCTCTATTCAAACTATAAAATTATTACCCCAATATTATCCCTTTTGTAATCAAACAACAACATACCCAATATAATCCCACAAGGTGGGGTCGGGGGAGGATAGAATGTACTCTGGCCTTACCCCTACCTCGTGAGGTTAGGGAGACACTATACCCTTTGTAATCATTCTGCTTAAAGCATCCACTGCCAAGACGTTTATGAAATTGTTTCAGGGTTAGAACTACTATAGATCAAGGTTAGATGTTGAATCATCATGAAGCTAATTAACTATGTTAAACTTGGCTATTTAAACAAGAAAATATTCGGGAACATGATGTTTATTTATATTTACTCTGCAAAACTATTAACCCAACACTCTCCCCTTTGTAATCATTCTTCCTAAAGCATTCAGTGGCAAGATGTGTATGAAACTGTTTCAGGGTTAAAACTACTATAAACCAAGGTTAGATGTTGAACAATCATGAAGTTAAGGTCCATGTTAAGACTAAATGCACCCGGTTCATACTTATAGTATATTACCTTCTTTAGTTGAAGTTTTCTCAATTATCCTCAAGTGTATTTATTCTGTTTCAGTCACCAGTTTGACATGGAAAAGTTCTGCCTTAAAGCGAAAATAGCAATATTTTGAAAGTTCCCTGCATTTTTATGCATTTTCTGTGTAGTTTACTTCATACTTGTGATGATAAACAAGTTATATCAACCAAAATGTGCAACTTACGGATGACATACTTCATGGGCTAAACGCAAAAGCAGATCGCTGATATTGTGAAGGAAATTCGCTCCTATCAGCCTTCTATATTTCTTTGACATTAACCTTAAATTGATCTATCATCTACACTGGCGAGTTAAAATATTAAATATCTGTCTAGTTGTGCTGTACAATGAATCCAAATACCCTCATGCTAAGCAAAAGGATCAAATCTGAAATTTCTTTCATTTCTCCAAAAAGAAAAGTAAAAGGAGAGAATATTCAGACCAGAAGATCTCAGAATGTTTAGGCTTGTGCATCCTTAGCTATGAATCTTGAGCGGTTAGATTACGTATTTGTAATTTCTGAGGTATTCCATTTCCCTTTTCCCTATCAAAATGCTGATATGCCAGTTCCTTATTTAGTCTTATTGCAGACTGGAAAAGTTGTTACTAGTGCTTCTTCCACTGCTGATGGAAAGTTTGCCATCAAGCTTGAGAAACGTAGCCTTGACTATGTGGAGCATGTTGAAGCTGATTATCTACTTATTGCTAGCGGTAGTAGTAAGCAGGTCAGTTTGGTAATGAGTTAGTAGCACTTTTTGCATCTATTCCTTTACTTCATTTCAACCTTTCCTTTTCAGGGTTATAATCTTGCCACTCAACTTGGCCATTCAATTTTGGAACCTGTTCCAAGCCTGTTCACTTTCAAGATTGATGACTTGAAGTTAGCAGAACTGTCTGGTGTAGGTTTCTTTACCATTTGCAGCCAATTGAGTGAAATCAATCTTTGAGGTGTTTGGCTGCTACTCCTTATGTTTTATATCACATCAATGAAGATATAGCTTGTTAATTATGTGTTGTCAATAGTTCTTTTTCCTGAATCATGAATATACTTGGGGAAATGATTTATATGTCTCGTTAGTATCTTTTGGATTCAGAGCCTATTGGTTTTCAAATAGTAGTATTAAGGATGACCTACCTCTGATTGTTAGTCAACTATCTGCACTGAGAATTGATTCTTTCCTCTATTCGAGCATTTAATATGCCTTATGAGACAGCTAGTTCCTTTTGACTTCCACCAGTGCTACCTTGCATGCTTCATATGTTCTGTAAGTACTGAGCTAGTTCTTCTCTGGAATATGTGCAATTGCTATATAAAAACATGAGTCTTGTCTCCCCTGTAAAATCACCTTTATTAAATTTTAGGTGATGCTTTGGTGTTATATACTATGGGACAATGTGCACTGATTATACCTTTTCGTCTAATGACATAGTGATCTCTGATTTATTGCTTACAGAGTTTCCTTTTAATTATGTATATTTTAACTGGTTCAGTTTTGTTTTGTTTTGCTTGAAATTTATACTAAAGTGAACAACATATTATACTCTATCCTTTTCAATTTGTTTGTCTTAGTTTAACTTGACACTGAGTTAAAAAAAGTAAAGAAGACTTTTGAATCTTGAGGTCTTAAACTAAATATATGTATAATGTACCAAAGTGTCTTAAACCTGCCACGTGGGATGTTGAAATTCAAGAGCTGCCAAATTAGGAAAGAGGCCTCTTTCTGAAACAGCCTAAAAAGGAAAGTAACAGAAACAGATTGAAACATAGGGAGTAATATATTACAAACATCATTTGCAATTTGTGTTGATTATTAAAACAGTTGTGACATACTTATCACACCTTTGAATACGTGATATAATCATGCCTATGACTAACACTAACCATTTTGCTTGTCATCCATAGGTGACATTCCCAAAAGTAAAAGCAAAATTACAGTTGGAAGGCATTCAGAAGAAAATACCACAACTTACTCAGGTATGCATTTCTGATTGGTTGCATTTCTTGTATAGTATATTTATACTGCAGAACAATAATACTATCTTTTAGGTAGGACCGATGCTCGTAACCCATTGGGGACTCAGTGGCCCTGTGGTTCTTAGGCTATCTGCTTGGGGGGCACGTTATCTATCCAGTTCAGACTATAAGGGTAAAAAATGTCTTCCTTTTTCTGTTTTTGTCATTTTCTCTTTACCACAACCTTTTCTCTTGCTAAATTTAGTTGCAAACATATCCAGGTACGCTTTGCGTGGATTTTACTCCTGACCTCCATATTGAAGATTTAAAGTCTGCACTCACTCGTCACAAGAGTCAATTTTTGGTAATACATTCGATGACCTGAATCGAAGCTAAAGGCTTTTTCATCATTTTGTTTGATTCGTCAAAGATGGGAAATGTATGGAAGAGAGAACAGAAAGCTGTCCTCCATGAGAAGACAACTACTTTATCAAAAATAAAAAAGGGGAAAGAAAGATGCAGGAACTAATACTTTAAAATTATATTAAACATTTGCATTGTAGATTGAGCTACTATATCCATGGATCCTTTATTTTTTGAAGTACCTGTGATGTGAGTGGTTATGGGTTCCTGTAAAATACATAGCAAAAAAAGGTGAATATATCTCTACCCAGAACTCACACACACCCATATAAGATATATGTCATGGTCCATATAAGATAGTTGAGCAGCAATGTTCAACTAATTTATTGAACCACATAAACAGATTGTATGAGATGTACCCATGCTTAGGGTTCTTTAACAATTGATTGATCTTATTAAAAGAAAAAGGTTCTGAAACTATTGATTGTTCTCTCCTGTAAATAATATCTCGTCATGACAAAAAGGCATATGATTTCTGATTTGTATAGGATCTTACTTCACCACTTTTCTTATTATTCTCTTCAATGCAGAGGCAGAAGGTGCTGAATTCTTATCCTTCTGAACTTGCGGTCGTTAAAAGGTTTTGGAAGTATATATTAGATCGTGAGGTGAAATATTTACTTCAGTTGCAAGGATATTTTTGGGCTTCTACATAAAAATATCTTCTCAGAATGTTTGACGTCCACTTCTATTAAGTTAAATTTCTTTTTCGATTAATGCAGGGAATATGCGGAGACATGCTGTGGTCATCCATTTCCAATAATTTGTTGATTTCTGTCGCTGCTTTGTTGAAGGATTGTGCATTTAGCGTGAAGGGAAAGGTATCATGGCTCTTCCCATTTCTCAGACTCATTTCTTCTTTTGATGTCATTACTTTGATTGAAAAGAAACTTTCTGTTGCATTCTTTTTGGGGTAATGAAGGGCCAATTTAAGGATGAGTTTGTCACAGCTGGAGGTGTTCCACTTTCAGAGGTGCTCCCTTTTATTTTCTTCCCGTCTATATATTCCTTCCAATGCGCCAATGTGAAGATCCTTCCAATTTAGCTAAATTAGTTTCTGAGAGTTGCAATCTTTCTATTTCTTCAAACAGATCTACCTTGCTACGATGGGGAGTAGAATCCATCCTCATCTCTACTTTGCTGGAGAGGTTGTCTAACTAATGCCTGTTTACTTCTCTTGCTTCAGGTGCAAATGTAGGACACAGTTTAGGGCTTTCCATATTTGTTTCTGATTCTTTGAAAATCCTGTAGGTACTCAATGTTGATGGTATCACTGGTGGCTTCAATTTTCAGGTAATGTGAGCTTGATCTGAATCCACAGTGTAGAATTAACAAGAAAAGCATCAAGTTTTCTTTATTATATACTTAATTAACATATATATATATATATATATATATATATATGTATGTATGTATATATATATATATATATGTA